TGCCAACTGCCTTTAATGTACGATAACGCTGGGGCTTATAAAGCAAGAATTTTCAGAGAAGAGCTTGGGTGTAGTAGCTGTAACAGTAGTGTAATGGCTTTGGAGCTTTTAAAACGGCACTGCCTAGCACAAGCCGAATGGTTTGCATTCATAGAGAAGCTCAAGACTCAGCTCAAGAGGCAGTTGAAGGTGGCTTGCAGCGTGGCCTCGTCGTGGTTTCAAAGACCGGTGGCAGATGGTCACGTATAAGAAAGGGGAATAGAGATTTTGCAAATTTACAGTTCTTATTCAATTTGTTGGGGAAGTCTTCAGTAAAAGTCGTTTCTAAATTACAGAGGATCATTTGAAACCCTACCTACTCATCCCGCCTTGACATTTCACTCTACGATCATTCTAGCGAACGAATTAAAAAGATCAGTGCTTTGTGCTACTCGATTCACAAAAAAAATAACTAGTAGGCCACGTAGTGAAGCAGACAGTATACAAATGAAAGCTTTCCCTTCACTTCTTCTCTGCAGGTTTGAGTTACTCTGAATTGATTTCCGATGGTCCCTACAAGGAGATTCATCGTTCCAATATGATCAGATGGGGCGAAGGAATGCGTAATGACCAACCGGATTTTTTCTGCAGGTTATGCTTTACGATTTATTTGGGCTATAGATGGAATACGTTCAAAAAACACATTGCGCTGAGAGATGGGAGGTGGCCGCGCCATACATCCATTCCTATGGCTCTGCTTAGGCACACACGGCTGTGCGTTGCCTTTCACCCTCGTCAAGTGGTGAAGTGTGCCACTTGTACCGCGTGCATGGGAAGAATGCAACCCTTCAGTTATTCATATGGTGGGATTCTGAAAAAAAAATTGTGAATATTATAACAAATGTGTTGCGTTGTAGGGCGGTGGTGGCGTTGTGGCATGGCGCGCTTACCAGCGGGCGTTTCGTGGATCGAATCCCGCATAGGTCCCGCCCAGGCCAACCACCCCTTCTATCCTATATTGGTAACAAATTCGTCTGGGGGATAAGAACACTGAATCGTACATCGGCTGGTACTCGGAAGTCATTATATAGGCCACACCACATTGACTAAGCCACTACAATTCTGAGTGGACGTCAGTGCATGCCCATCTTCATCCCTTACGACGCGTTGTGGTGCTACAAGTGCGAGTACTAGTGCTGCAAAGCATAAAGACTTTCAAGCTAAGAGGGTAAGAGGCTGCAGTGGTGGCGTAATGGATAGTGCGCTCGCCCGGAAAGCGTGAGGGCGGGTTCAAGTCCCACCTGGGGTTGGAACTTTGCCCATAACACAACATCCTTGATGACGTTCAGAGCGCGAACTGTGGAGTTTAACAGCAGTTATCATAATGATAAATAATCTGAATAGTGATCTCCAACTGTTGCCAACACAGAGTTTTCAGAGCCACCATTCCCACGGACTGTACTGATGACGTAGTAATAATTTCGGACTGCAGAAGACCATCTGATATTGAATACTTTCAAAATAATTACCGAACATTGACTGTACGTGTAAACTGCAGTTACGAGGAAAGGCAACGGCGTGGTTTTGAATTTGTCGATGGAATAGATGATATGCCTTCAGAATGTGCACTGGATCATTACCCACATGATCTGGTAATCATAAACGACAATTCCACTGATCTAGCAGATCAGCTTCAGAACGTGGTTGAAAATGTAAGGCGGGTTTTATCGTCATAAATATCGCTTAATTTATAAGTTATGTGTAATTTTATGTGTTGGCTTCTTTCTACCTCAATAAAGAAATCACTTGGGAATCTTATTCACTTCATATACGAATATTTTTGGCAACGTAGCATTTTCTCAGAATTAATCGAATTTCGTGACACATGGCGGATTCCGTGTTAAATTAAATACAAAATGAACAACCGAGATATAAACTAGAAATGAAACAATGCAAAACTCAAAATCAAGTCAAACAGAACATGGCGCAGTTCAGCTTGGTGGGGGCATTTTCCCCATCGATCAAAGCTTGCCTCTTTTGGGGACCTGCGAGCTCCTAATCCTAAGTAATAACAGAAGCGTCGTTCACGCTCAACATGAGATTACATGTCTTACCAAGATGAGACGTGTAGTTCAACAGGAACTAGCAAAATGAACTAGCGGAAGTGCAAAATGTTACCCTCCTGCCCCCCCCCCCCCGGAACTGAACAGTGCCTAAGAACATATCAAAACGTTTTTTGATACAAACAAACAGATTAATAACAACTATAAGTCAACAAGAAAGTTCTAAGTGAGCTCTGAGTCAGACGAAATCCTCTAATTACATTTCTGAATATCTAATAGATAGTTACCCTCAAAACACGGGTATCTAGTAGCAGAATCGTTTATTTCTTGCTACTGGGAGCATTTTGCTTTAGCATTTGAGTAAACTGGTTTGGATTGGAAAATGGCATAAATATGTCGTCTAAGAAGGAATCGTCATCGCTTCCATCGTTGGTGATGTTCATGCTTTGGGTGCGCGGGATTTTCTCTTTCGGCGAGTATTCTAAAAACAAACATGTAAGGTAGGGTTCAAACTTTGCGACAACGCGTATCGACGTGCTGTAACACGCTGCAACGCGTTATACATTACAACAGAACTAATACTACAGACGAGAGCGAAGCCATAGATGGGTATCGATCAGCATCGGCCCGCTCAACCCATTTTGTAGAGTAATAGAGCTGACGCGTTGGCTTAAGCATACGGGTCTGGTACCCTCCCTGCTCCTCTATACTCTCCCAAAACCCATAGCGCGCGGCGCTAATCGACGCCCGTCTACTGGTTGCCGTTCTAGTTTTTTTTTTGGCCGCCGCCTGTACGTAGTCGCCCCAACACATGTCATCTACGAATTATGAACGCTGCGGCCACTGGCTCCAAAGCGGACAGAATCCGAGCAGGGTGAGGGACTTACCAGGGCGACATTTGAGACGTAAGTGGTGATTTTTGGAGAAGGTATCCTTCCTATATCGAAGGTGCGCAGGCAGTAGCAGTAACAGGAAAGAAGCGCTCTCGCCATTTGGAAGTGGCAGTGAAACCACCAGAGTTTGTGAATAGTTGATAAAGGAAGGCAGTAGGCTGTGACAGCAATACTCCGCAGGGGTACACATCTTCAGAGAAATCTTATCAGGTGTTGTACTCTGCTTTTATTCGATTCCTCCTCCCCCCCCACCCCCAGTGGCGAGAGGGAAAAATGAAACTAGTACGCAATTGGGGCAAAAACGTCTAGAAAAAGATCACAGTGTAGAAGATATGGTGGATGGAGTCGTCTAGATGGAAAAATTTGGAGGGCGTCGTCCCAGACGCCAAACACGAAGCTGCTACAAACCCTTCAGTTCGCAGTGCTGGGCACTTTCCCGTGGTAGCCGAGAGTGTTATACTTCTACTGCTGACAGACTCATTTAGTCCGTATGCAAGTATTTCTCATGAAGAGATAGAGAATATTGACCCACCTGCTTTTCCGGGGTTATCGTTCATGGTACGAAACCGTTTCAGTGGTGTACTGAAAACTAACGCTTAATTTTTGGAATATTACTGAATGAAGCTGATGCAACTAAGGCGGCGCTTAGACATCGCGATGACGCGCTTCGTTTCCTAATAGTATAAGAGAATAGGAGGAGGGTATGCGTTGCCTATCCCCACCACTGGTACCTTTCTTTTCTCCTATCCTCTCCAAACAGCGGTCGCCGCCCGATGACGACACGTCTATGGCTGCCTGTTCGTCTCAAGCACCTACTACTGTACTGGACTACTCTCTCTAGCGTTATAGCGCGTTGACGCGCGTCATCGCGAAGTGTGAACGCTGCCTGAGTCATTGTTGGAACCAATACATTACAAGCAGGGGAAAGTTGTGGTTAAGGAACTTACGCGGACACGATGCCTGATCTTTTTGGAGTGCTAGTGGAAAATGTGGACGGTGGTTGAGTCCGCACCAATGAAGGAGTGATGATAATATCACTGAAAATTTTCACAAAATGTTCTCACTATCGATTTACCAGTTTCCCGTTCATCGAATGATCTATGAGGAGCGCTCTCTTAACTTACTTTGCTATTCTCGAGGGTGTCCGTGGAATTGGTGTCAAGTTTGGCATACAAGGAACTGTTGTCCTATATGGCGTAACATAGGGCAACTAAACATTTGTCTTCATTTTTGTTCAAAGGATACTGGAAAAATAGGGCTCAACAATGTTCTTTCGTTGCAGCTATCCTTCGCATCACCTTCACTGCGTAAGCGCTGCCGTAGTTTCACTTAAACTTAGCTTATTAGTCCTTAGAACAAACATATGCGGCACTGGTCGCCTTGGGGTAAGGGAGAAGGTGGCAATCGAGGAGCTCTCTGTGCAAAAGTCGGATTACAGCGACCCAAACAAGTTAGTTCTCCTTGCCTCCCTAGACTTAGGTGGAATCCTCATCTCCCCACGTACCACTAGCTTCGCATAAGGAGGGCTTTGGATGCTTCCTCCTCTCCCCAAGGCGATCATCGCCACAAATAATTATAGAAAAATAAAGTCATAAAACATGAAAAGTCACCAAGTGATGCTCTTCCTAAAGCAAGTCCCTCTTCCATGGACATACTTCCTTGAGAATCCGTTGATTTCGGTTCTGCAACTTCATTCTGGTCTGATCGACGTTTTCTCCGCGTGTGAGTCCTATCAAGCGGACGACTTCGGTGTGGAGTAGTCTGAAAGAAGAACGCCCTAAGGCTGCGATCATACTTTTTCGATCCAAAATTAGTCGCTGAAATAGAGCAACTGCTGCTGTCAGGCTGCACAGCTAACATAGGACCTTCGAGTCTTCTGGTTCACATTGAGAGATATTCGACTATTTGTTCAAGATCAGGTAGAGGTTACAGTCCAGATGAGAAGTCTAGTAGAGAAGCAAAGGGCTAACGTAATTATGACAAAGACGCCACTCCTCAGCGCATCCATTTCCTTCCGTAACCAAGGTCTTAGAACGCAGACGGCCTGAGTCGCCACTGGCTATTTTCACAAAGCAGACAATCTTTACGTGACCTTGATCATGACCGCTCTGAGCCTAAGCCGAGAAACGAAACAGTGGAGCTGCGATAGCATCCAAAAACTCGCCTTCGGAAGTAATACAAGGAGTGGGCACTCGCCAGAAAATATTTCAGAAAGTACGAGGCAGGTGTAACTAAATCAGAAGTTGCATTAGTCCAATGTTTAGCGGAAGAGAACTGTGGGTTGCAGTCGCTCGAGTCGCAAACTATGAACACTCTCCCACTCCTTGTATTCCTTCCGGAGAACTTGCAATCGCTAGTAAAGCTACGTGT